GCGTTGCATTGCCGCGAAATTGATGACGCCTGATAGTCGCACGATTTTCAATAGAAGGGAAGGATTGAGCGTTCTCGCGGGATGACAAGGGCGTCGAAAAAGAACTGAGGGGAAATCTGGTGGAAGACGGTGGTAGATCAATCGCAGGAGGGAAGTTTGATCTTTTCGATCGCTCACGTTTCGAGAAAGCAACCGAGGGTGGCGGAGGCGCCGAGGAATGGAAAAAATATGTTCTCCGCTTCCGACTGCGAGGCGGAAATTGAAGAAGTTATAGGCGCGCGGGTGAGGGACGAGTATGCAAATTATTTATTACTCTATCCTTTCGTGCGAATTCACGCGTAGCGCGGGACGAGACGACGCGCCGTCGTCTGTCTTCGTGTAATTTTTCATCACCCTCGCGATAGCGCGATCCGGTTCCGGTAGACGATGCCGCGGGAATTTTTCTTCCGCGAGCAAATTCCATCGCGGCGCGTTTCACGCGCGGGCCTCGGAATAATAAAAGCCGCGGCAAGATTTCAGATGCTGTCGAATGTCATTCAACGTCGGATAATATTCACGATTTTTATTCATAACGGATCGATGCGAGATTTTCCAAACGAAGTGATAGTAACTCCGTATACTTTGTGGAAATCCTCTGTCGTAATTGCAAGAGTCTCGTATAATGTCGATTGATGGAACAATTTTCTTGAGATAAAGCACATTTCGTCGCTATATTTCATCGCGACGAAGTATAGCTCGATATCGCGGCTATGGGATATGGGAGGCATCTAACTACGGGCGCATGCGTCTTCCTTTCAATTTTTCATCAGAACGTCGAACCTGGAAGCAATACCAGGCTCGTTTAAGGTTCAAAGCCTTGTCGTCGTTGGTGGTAAAGCCCTTTCTCTCGTGCAAGAATTCGAATCCTCCGTCAGAGACGGTCCTCTTACCTTTGAGTAACCGCATACCGTCCGCAGGCAGTCGCGCCACTAAAAGAACTTAGACTGCCAGGCTATAAGCCAGCTAAAAATATGAATAAATTACTCGCAGTCGTAAGACATTGTGAATAATTCTGCGGCCGTATCAAATTAACATGAAATACGTAGAAATACTAATAAATATTAATACAAGTATATAATTTTATTTTTGTTTTCATAAAATTAAAAGATACAAGTAATCTTTCATTAAATTTCGATTTAAAGCGAAAGGAAACAAATAACAATTCACTATTGATTTGTTCTTCGCAAGCTTTTTTATCGCTAATAATACATATATATATATATATATATATATTAAGTCTAACGATACATATTAAGTCTTATAATTTTATTTGGCGAATAAATTGAATTATTTAATAATAACTTGAACATAACCTTGCGCGTGTAGCACAAGTTTGAAAAATATGCCAAACCTACTACATTCGTTGCAATACATGCTTCAGTCTCAGCGTTTCACTCATTTCTCATCTTTCATTCTTTCTCTTGGTTGGAATACTTTCGCGTGTTCGCCTTTCTGTGACTAACGCGAGTCGACGTAGTTGCTCCTATTCTCTCTCCGTTCACACGTCTTGACGACCGCAAAGGCGACGGCCCAGGTGAGAGAACGTCAGCCGGGGAAAAAGAAACAGACGAAGGACGAGGGGTGTCCTGTATCAGGTGGGAGAAGCGACATAACACGCGTGACTCGTCGAGAATCACGCAGCACGCGCAGGTACGCGGCTCGCGGCTAAATGAAATTTTAATAAAGCCGCGCTGGAAAGCATCACGCAGCATGGGGAGGGAAATGGTCCTCACAATGGAACAATGGCTTCTCGAAGTCGTCGGCGAAGGCGTCGGCGCGCTTCTTCCGAAGGGGCAGACGCGCCGCGATAATTATATCGAGGCGGCGGCGCGGAATCCTGCCAGAAAAACTTGTCCTCGGCCCTTATAGGGCCGAGGAGTCCCCAGAACGTCGCGCCCGCAATCGCCTAACTAAAGGCGAATTTACACGGTTCGCTCCCGATGATTACCCCGGATGAATCATCCAAAATAAATTGGATGAACGCGTTTTTGTCCAGACGTATCGCGCCAAAAGTGGGCTACCCGAATTGCGGTCGATCCGACGCGGCCATTCGCCAGTTCTCCGAGCGACGCGCTAGAGCGACTGCCGGCGAGATATTTCCGCCCGTTTAAGATATTGCAATTAGTATAGTAACTCAATTACATATATTATTCGACAAATATATATCAAGTCTATATACACTTAAGTCTGTACGTATCTAAATTCCCCGTACGATATAAACTCTCGATTCTCGAAACTGTAAACTGGCGGTTCCGAACTCTCAGCTGGGAATTCTCGACTCCCAACTTTCAACCCTTATCTCGTGTTTCATATCTCACAAATTTCTCTCTTCAAACGTGCAATTCGCAGTTTGTGTTGTTATTGCATGTTGGACATTGGCCTAAGTGTATCATCACACTTCTTCTTTAAGCTCAATCGAGAAACCGTCACGTCACGCGTTGATACATAAATATTTTTTGCTGATAAACTATAATGTCAATGTTGAACGACAACTGAGAAACTCCTGCCTTTTCTTTTCTCTTGTTTTCAAGGCGATAATTTTTTTATGAAAATAATGTTTATATAATTTTAATTTTGACTTTCGCTATTCGAATTACTTCGGAACAATATTGTTGAAAGTTTACCGTGTAAATTCGCCTTAACTTTTGCTGCAAATCTTGCTCTTTGTCCCCCTTACGATAGGGAGCACGCAGTCGTCTCGGTTCGACGATCGTTGTCGCAAACGAGAAATTCGATCGGCGAGAGAAAAGGGCGAGGCAGGCGCGACGCCATAGGTTTTTGCCGGCAACGGCCATTTCTTTGTAAGACGATAGAATGGCATTCTAATATCGGCATTGGTGCAAGAAATCGGTGCGCGCACACGATAAAAAGACTGATGGTATTTGGAACAAAGTGATCGAGTGTTGGGCAATTAGAAAAAATTTTAAGTCACCGCTATGATTACTCGGCAATTCAGATAATTCAGCAGTTTATTATTATTTTTTAGAGAATATAGAAATAAAATGCCAAAAGTTGCATTCAAATGAAAATTGAAATAATATCACGAATATAAATAAAGTTACAAGAAACGTAAATCTTTCAATGTGAAATAAAAAACTGAGAGATAATATAAATTTTTCACCAAAAATTCAGGAAACGGCTGTTTAAAAAATATAATTGCAGATTAAAGACGCGATATAAAAATATATAAATATTCGAATTGGTTAATTATTATTGCAACTTTTGTATACTTTTTAACCAAGACTTTGTATTTCAATTCCACGTTCGATATCACGTGACTTTTCTGTGGAATTTTATTATTCAGGTTTATGGCACAATGGAAGTGTATCAGTTCTTCATCGCATCTTTCTCCTCGCTAACGCTTTCTAAAAGCCTTTTTAGAATTTCTAGTGGAGCATGTCTTGAACACTGTACGCAGCCTCATAAAATCCCAGCATATAATAACCTGCTGAATATTTTCGCAGTGCACGTAATATCGATAGTGTTGCCCTCCGGCTCGCGCACTTTCTTACACAGCGCTGTGTTGAGTTCTTGCGCGATAATACGCCTGCATAAAATTTTGCAATGCACGTAAAACGTTTCGTGTACGTGTGAATTTTACGTACCGACCCAGAAAAATTTCTCATCGACAAAGCGAGGAACGCGCGAATCGTTGAGCTGAGAAAAATAAATGCAAGAGTCGAAGATCAAGATAAATGCGCACCTGATACCACTAAATTAGAAAAAATGGATAGTGTAAAGTTTAGGCCGCTGTTGCAGTTCGCTCGAATACAAAGAGAAAAGAAGAGAAAAAAAAATCGTTGGCAGTGTAATTTTAGTGATATTAACTTGGCGTATAAATCACCAAGAGGAACTTAGCGATTTAAGCACCAAATTAGCGTTGTCGAGCCAGCTGGGCCTAGAATATAGCGGGTGAAAAGTAGAGCGAATTAGCGAGGAGAGGAAAGAACGCAGATGTGACCGCGCGTGTTTTGCCAGCGGCTGGCGCAGCCATTCGAACAATTCATATTTCACGCCAAGTCTCTGTCGAAAGTCTCTCGCGAAATCTTTGACACGACGGCTAACTGTAAACGCGTGTAGTCACGGACGGGAAAGCATTTACCGATCCCACGATCTACGACGCGCGGATCGATTATTATTACGACGAGAGGTGTATCCAATTTCGCGTCACTCGCGCGCGAAACAGAATGAGGTGGTGCTGTAGTAAAGCCGCGCGCGGATACTGTCGGGCAAATTACGGGGTGCCTGGTCTATTCATTTACGTACCGGAGTCGACAGCCAATCAGTCGTTAACTGCTAACGGTAACGAGCCGGAACCGCGGATAAATTTAAAACAAGCACGACAGAGAGTAATCGCGGCGGCGATGATGCGTTTCCGCCTGTTGCACGACGCCAATGAGCGTTGCGCGTGAAAAAGCGAGAGCCGTCTTCCTTAACCGCGGACACGTCGCGAAATTGAAAGATGACCCCCCGCCTGTGAGTGTCGATCGACTACATCCACGTTGCAATTCGTTAAGTAATATCCCGAGTGCGACACGTTATCCGATATTAGAATTTTCGATGAATATTCGTCGGATATATGTCAAGCAATATTAATCCATTCGTTATGAAGTTCCAATATTGGAACATCCGATTTTATCGATATTACTTCCGCCGTGCAAAAACTCGGAGAGTTATTGGCGGCGTATTTTTCTATTACATTTCGTGTATTTTTGCGCTGACGTTAAAACATTAAAAAATTTATACGCGATAACAAATAGTCGCAAGTACATCTTCTCACTTCGCATGGAATTTTTTTCTCTCGCGCACAATGCACGTATATGCGCGCTTTCTGCTACGGTTGATCCAGCTTTTTGGAGAAGGGATATTGTGAATGCGAGCGAGAGAGCAGCCCGACGATGCATTACACTTTATGGCCCTGCTGGCGCGGATTTTAACGTTAAATCGTCGCTTGTTTCCAGGACCGGCACATGAAGGACGCCAGCAGAGATCCGGAGGTGGATGCGAGCCAGGACTACCGGCTGTTACTGGGTTACGAGAACAAGACGCATACGGTGCTCCGTTTCAGCAGACGATACGACACATGCGACCAGCGGGACCTGAAGATCACGGTAGGTGATGCGATTTATACCGCTCGAAGGACGCAGGACAATTTCCTGCGGAGTACATACAAAGCACGCGAGATTTACTCGGTCGTGCACGCTTATCTCGCACTATTTCTGCCGTGATAAATGCATCCGCCGTATTCCCCGGGAGAAATATTAATGCGGGATTTATTTACAGATCAAATGGATTAAAGAAATTTGTTTTTTTTTTTTCAATAAATTTTTTCATTAATCTTTTCGTTAGAGCGAGCAAACTTGTTTTGAAAATTTGTTTATATATTCGAAAAGATAAATTTTTCCACTCCCGGTTCTCTTTATTTACATTTCTGTTCTGTTAAAACGAGAAATCATCATCTCGTGAAATCGTTCTATTAACGCAGCCTTCCGTAATTTCTTTTCTTCGTAAAAATTTTTACTTTTTTTGAAAAAAAATATAAATATAAAATTTTTACTTTTTTTGAAAAAAAATTATGCAGTTTTCAAGTACGCGTGCCAAAATTTCGAGTACAAAGGATTTTGTTAATTACTACATTTAATTATTGCGTCGGTGCTTGTAAACGTGTTGCGAATGTTTGCGTTCTAGGATTGGACTTGAATTAAATTCGGCGGCTTGTTATCGCAATTTCCCCACGCGGTATTCTGCTATTCATTGTAGCGCGGGCCGACCTACTTCTTTATTTCGCCGGTAATTAACTCGGAAATAGATTGCGAGATAGAGCCGTCCCCGCGGCTCGACGGTGCTCGGTACGGGCTTAACCCGAAGAAAAGAGATTACGCTGGTGTTGCGATTCGCTTTAAGCCGCGCAAC